TTAACAGTTTATGCTTTTCATATATTATAAATCACTAAGCTTTTACTTGGTGATAAGGCTGTCAGCTTCTCAGCGTGTTTAAAAATAAAGATATGCTTATCCTTGCCTTTAATATGCCATTACTACAACTCAGTCAATTATGTCTTGCCTGTTCACCTAAAAACTTAAGATCAGACATTGTAATATTTACACAATTAACTTCTGATATATGGTAACCTCACACCATTATTGCACTGAGACTGACATAAATCATTCAGAATGAAACTCAAGCAGAGATGGTTTTTGCAAAATCAAGTGCTCCATCAGATAGGCACCGATGCCAAACCTCACTGCCATCTAAAATCATCTTGGTAGATCCAACAGCAACACTGGCATGATCTGACTCTTAGACATTTTAAATTACCAGGATAACCAGCTAAATCAGGAGTGGGAGAGGTCAAAAATCAAACAGCATGACGACCAGTGTCTCTCAAACCTGGCACCCCACAGAGCTATCACGGTCAGAAATAAATACGTGTCATGCAGGTATTATGGTGGCGAATAATCTTATAAAAATGATGATGTGTCGTTTCAAGATAGGATCAGGAAGTGAAGCAGCTGCTATGCAGAAACTAAACTACAGAGACTAAATATAGTTCATCTTTTGTAGGGTACTACAAATATTGAATTTTGAAGGGGTTTGGGTTTTTGGATTTATTTTTTTTTTAAAAAGCCACATTTTAAAAAACACTTTCAGCAATTATTTTCTTTTAATTAGCACAAGTTTGCAAATGCAACAGAGGATTATGGATAGTAGCTGTCTGTTCCTTATCAACTAAGCTGTCAGTCAGATAAGCTATCAGATTTTACATTACATTATTGATTCAAGGAGATCTGAACCAAACCTATGCTCAAATTTGAGAGACAAGAATTAGCTTCTGGAAGTAAGCACATGGGACAATGCTGAGACACTGACCAACAGTTGCTAACAGACCTGTGATTTATTACAGGCTCGCAAATACTGCTGTTGGGATGGTGATGGAGGAAAAATAAGTACACTCCACTCAGAAATAATGTTTTGGGCTGTATTTACCACCCATTTGTCTGAGAATGGTATAGCATGAAGAAAATGGAAGCAAGACATCTCTGAAAGTTCTTATTTAGCATCAGCTCTAAGGATATGGTTCCACTATAGATAAAGATCTTTATCAGTCAGATAAAGATCTGACAAAAAAAACCCCACAAGAATACAGATAAAAATCAGGACAGCAAAGGTTTAGACCTTTATTGTCCTGATGATGCCTTCTTTGCATTGCAAAGCTGCACAAGAATCAGAGCCAGCTGGAGAATGAGTTGAATATCAAAGGATGAGTTCCACAAGGTGGTCTGAACAAAATTACCAGTTTAACACCGCTAAAAATAGGACACCTCTCTCTTTTCTCCTGCCTGTTCCCTGTTCCACTCACATGCCCTCTCTTGGACTGGTTGTGGTGAAGAGTGATTTCAAGCCAGGTCTCCTCAAACTATGGACAGTAGGATCGTGTGCACCCTCAGCAAGTTTGCCAATGACACCAGGCTGTGTGGTGCAGTTGACACACTAGAGGATGGATCTAGACTGGATGCCATCCAGAGGGACCTTGACAGATTGAGAGATGGGCCTGTGAGAACCTCATGAAGTTCAACAAGGCCAAGTGCAAGGTCCTGCACGTGGCTTAGGGCAATCCCAAGCACAAGTACAGGCTGGGCAGAGAATGGATGGAGAGCAGCCCCGAGGAGAAGGACTTGGGAGTGCTAGTGGATGAGAAGCTCAACATGAGCCAGCAATGTGCAGGCAGCCCAGAAAGCCAACTGTGTCCTAGGCTGCATCCAAAGAAGCGTGGCCAGCAGGTCCAGGGAGGGGATTCTGTCCCTCTACTCTGCTCTTGGGAGACCCGACCTGCAGTACTACGTTCAGCTCCAAGGCCCCCAACATAAGAAGGACATGGAGCTGTTGGACGGGGTCCAGAGGAGGGCAATGAAGATGATCCAAGGCCTGAAGCACCTTGCCTGTGAAGACAGGCTGAGAGAGTTGGGGCTGTTCAGCCTGGAGAAGAGAAGGCTCCGGGAAGACCTTTTAGCAGCCTTTCAGTACCTAAAGGGCCTACAAGAAAGCTGGACAGGGACTTTTTGCAAGGGCATGTAGTGATAGGACAAGGGGCAATGGCTTTAAACTGATAGAGGGGAGATTTAGATCAGATCTAAGGAAGAAATTTTTTACAATGAGGATGGTGAGGCGCTGGAACAGGTTGCCCAGAGAAGTTGTGGCTGGGCCCTCCCCGGAAGGGGTCCAGGGCGCGGGGGAAGCTTTGAGCAACCTGATCTGGTGGAAGGTGTCCCTGCCCATGGCAGGGGGGTTGGAACTAGATGATCTGTAAGATCCCTTCCAACCCAAACTATTCTATGATTCTATGATTAAAATCAGAAAATAGACTATTTTGTGCTGGATAAGTGAGCTACATTGGCTTACTTGGTGATTTCACAACTGTCAGTTAGTAAAAGAGGAATAACCAACCACACAGCTGGAAGGCAGGGAGTAGGAGACCAGAGAAAAGCAAGACCTCAGCATTTGAGTAGCAGAGAGCTGCCATCCATCTTCACAGCTGTCACATGAAGCCACAGCACATTCTTTACAAAAGATCTCCCTGATCAAGCTGACTGCATGGTCAAAGTGTTAGCATACATTCAAAAGAGAAGGCAGGCATGCACAGCCTAGACATATTGTCATATTCAGACAGTGAAACCTCGTTCTAAAACAGTCAGTGAAAGAGGCAGTCCCATTGTTCCTCTTCGTTCACATCCACCCAGAGATGCCCCAACCCCATCCCCACACTGGGCTAACAAGATTGAGGAAATGACTCAGAGTAAAGCTTTTATTTTTTTTTTCCACCCTGCTTGGCTTTAGCCCTTTTCAGTTCCCTATGTGGTTCACCATGC